GTCAATTGTGGACATTATGATTTTAACAGTTGTTTTTTGTTGGGAATTATTCAAATGGAATATGTGTAAACAATATAAAGAATTATTGTTTTAAAAATAAATGATAATTTCAAGTAAAAAGAATTTTTTTAAAAAATTGTTATTTATTAATTAATAATAATATAGTTTAAATATTCAATTATTGTAATATTTAACCTTTACCCAACTTAAACTTCTGATAATGAATATTTTTTATTATCAATTTTGAACGTGTTATAAAAAATTATAATCTTTTTTATTACACGTTCAATTTTTAGTTTTAAAAAAATAAAGTAATAAATTTTTGAACTTAGCTTTTGTTTTGTGAATATTTCATTAATTAACACTTTTCTAACCGAATACCATATTAAAAAAGGTTAAGTAAAATATTATTTGTCTTAAAACTTGTTTTTTTTTTATTTTTCTCAAGAAACCCCTTCAAAACCGAAACTTGCCAACGGACAGTTTTATTTTATTTATATAAAGTATGAATTAAGACTAAATTACCTAAGAATTCGACCAAAAACGTCTTGAATAACAATACAAAGAACAATAATAATTTTAAACCTATATTTTAACTACAAAATAGGTTTGTGGTAATACTTTTCTCGTGATAAAATTTTTCATCTTTTGCAATCAATTGCCAATGATTGTTTCAATCATCTCTTTTTCTAGTCCTTTGTTGAAAAAACTAAAAAAACAGTAAAACAAAACAATGATTTATCTAATCATTATTCACTTGGAGTTTTTCGCTTGGATTTTTTTTCTTTTCGTCGTTTTTGTTACCAACACACTCTACACATGACGATAGAATGCGACAAACATACGTTTTGATCACAAAAAGAACACAATTCTTTTACGCTACTGGCTTTCGCTCCAATACAGAGATGACACTTTTCCCTCTCCCGACTAAATCTTCTTGTGTATTTTATTTTTTCGGGTGATTTTGACTCAATCCACCAATTTGAAAGACCGCACGCGTAAAACATTCTTTTTTCTATTTTGTTTTTTTCATCCCATTTTTGAGTCGACGTTTGATGTAATTTTCAGAAAGCTGTTTTGACAAATTAACAAGAAAGTCGAAATGGTTGTTTTGTTTGCATTCTTTAAACATTCCATATACATTTGTTGTAACACAATCCAAAATATTTTGAAAAACGACCATATTGTATCGACGTGTTTTCGTTTTTGTCGTATATTGTTGACAAAGAAAATCATAAGTGTCCACTGGAGTTTTACTATAATTATAAAGAACGTTTATTTCTGATTTAGACTTTGAAGAGTCTATAATCGTGACATTAAGAGCATTTGTTGCAATAATGACAGTTTTTGTTTTTGGGGGGTTGAATGAAGTTAAAAGAATGCCGTCTTTTTTCCAAAATCGGATATTTTGTGGATTGGCTTCTTTATCTTTATAAAATTAAGTTTTTTGCGTTTTAATATTATCCATCTCCATTTTAATTTCATCAATTTTTTTGTTGTTTTCATCATCTTGTTTTTCGAATTTTTCCAATATTTCCCGATTTGGAGATTCTTTTGAAGATAACATTGCAACTTTTTGAAAAAGTTTTTCTTCTTTTTTCTTCAATAATTCCATTTTTTTCAAAATATTTTTTTCAGACTTGAATATTTCTTTTTCTGCCATTGAATTTTGTTTGGCCTCTTTTGGGATATTAGTACTTCGTTGGTTCAGAGTGCCAATATACCCAATTTTTTCCTTTTCAAGCTTGCCAATTACATTTATTGTTGTAAAGTAATTGTCGCTTTGAAGTAAATATTCCAAAGATTGGGAATTTTTTGGAAGCAAATTTTCTATTAATTCCATAACAACAGACTCTCCATGGTGATATTCTTCTTTTGGAGTAACTTTCCCGATCAATTGGTCTTTCTTCCCCTCATACATTGTCATCCCAACACACAATTTTTTATAGTATGTACAAATACAATAAAATTTCAACCCCCTATTATTGGTTTTTGTGAGCAGTATTGGATTGCCTTGCAACGACCTTTGAACCCAAAAATTCTTTCATCTACACAAACAAGTTGACCGGGAGTACAAATATTGGTAATATTACGGGAAAAAATCCCAAATAATTCTTTGACTGCTGGAAAAACTGTTGTTGTTCTTCTTTCTTCTCTTGTGGCTTTAAGATCACAACGGAAACTTCTATATAGTTCATAGAATCTATTTCTTTCCATTACAATTCCGAAAAATGGACAGCCAAATTCTTGATTCCAAAATCGGGAAATTGGACCTTTCATTTGCATTGCCCCTATGTAAATCAACACCCCATAAAACAACGAATTTCATCAGTGTCAGTGTTTTTCCAATTACCAATCAGTGTTTTTCCTTTTTCGTTGGTGCCAACAACAATCAAATCCACAAATTCAGGAGAAACAATTTTTTCAAAACACTCTATTTCGGTAGAAAATGTCCCCAAAATTATCATCTTTCTATAGTTTTGATTCATTTTTGAAAAATCTGCCTCCCCGAAAACAGGGTCTAATATTTCCCAATTTTGAATATTTTTGGTTTTTTCCTCTTGAGGTTGGGTTGAAAAAATAAATTCTTTTTCTGAATTTTTTTCTGGAACAATAATATTTTCACCAAAATTGATTTCTTGTGATATTTCATTCTCATCGTCACTAGAATAATAGACTGGTTCTTCAGGTAATTCAATTTCCATTTGAATAAAAACGATTTAAAATATAAGAAAAAATATCCCAAATCAATTATTTCATGTAAAAAATTCAAATAAAAAAGTACATTTGGTCAAAATAAATATAAATATTCAGTCTAAACGTTGTCCACTCTCCAATGTTGTCTGAACATTTTTGGACCATCAAAACTGGAATATTTCGGGAAACAATTCGACACATTTCAAAAACACTGTTTCATAATTTTTATTGGGATTTCAACGTTTTTTCCCTAATTATCAATCTTTTCACCTTATTTTGTGTAAAATTTTGTCAAATGGACAACGTTTTTAGACAGACTTTATAACTTTTTATCTTAGTCAGCAAATGGATTCTTTTGGTAAAAAAAAGAAAAATAAATACCCGTTGGATAGATTAGGATACGAAGGTGTTAATTGTTAAATTTAAAATTATAATCAGTTTTAAAGTAATTTATAAAATTGTTAGAAAAAACAAATAAAAAAATGTTTTTTTATTTATAAAAAAAAATAAAATATAATAAAAATTTACAAAAAAACAACTTTTTATTAAAAAAGTATAGTAAATATATAGCAAAAATAACTAAAGTAAAAACTACAAACCCTTTGTAATTTTGCTTTTTTTTCAGTTTAGGAAAAAATGTGAAACACTGGAAGTATAAATAAACAACGCAAAAACCAGAATGAAGAGAAAATGTCAAGACTCGACAAATTACTAGACCTGATCGAAACCGCGCCCACTTCAGCTGCACGTCGCGCGGCTGCGCTGCAGCTTGGAGAGATCATTAGTACAAAGCCAGAAGAAATAGGAAGGCTTCTCACACGTATTTACCCATACACGATCCACAAAAAGTTGGAAACAAGAACTGCTGCAGGGATTGCAGTTGAAGCAATGGCTAAAAATGTCCCAGCTGTTCGTTGCACGAGCCCAACCGATGAATGGACATTTGACAATTTCAACTTGGAAAAGCGAATAGGAGAACATAGGGTTCTTTTGGCCAGTGAGGAAGAAACCAAAAAAATTGTACCTGTTGAATTTGTCGCGAACGAAAAATTAAGTAAACGACAGAAATTGTCGATGAAACGGAAAGCGAAAATGAAACAAGAAAAAGAGGTAGAAGTTGTTGAAAAAGTTGAGAAAATGGATTTTACGTGCGAAGGTTGGCCGTTCCAGAAGTTTTGTGAAAAATGCTTGGAGAATGTTTTTGACGCGCGGTGGGAAATTAGACATGGAGCGGCCATCAGTTTAAGAGAAGTAATTCGATCTCAAAGTCGCTCACTAACCACAGAATGGAAAATTGATTTGACGCTCAAACTACTTGTTGTTGTTTCATTGGACAGATTTGGAGATTTTATATCGGATACCGTCATTGCTCCGGTGAGAGAAACTTGTGCTCAAGTTATTGGGATTTCACTTCAAAACATTGGAAATGTCGACAAGTTTGTTACGCTTATATGTCAGATGTACCACAAAGAAGAGTGGGAAATCAAACACGGGGCATTATTGGTGATGAAGTATGTTGTTGCAATTATCGACAAGAAAAACGTTCAACCACTATTTGTAACGGTAAAACCAATGTTGTTGGAAGCTTTGACTGATGTCAAACATGACGAATCTGTTGCGGTTGCTGCGGAGGTCATGAGAGAGTTGGTTGATGTGATGAAAACTGATAGAGAGTTGATACAAACATTACGAGAGATGCTATGGGATGTTTTAGAGGAGTTGGATGAATTAACAGCTTCTGCGAACAATGTTTTGCAATTGCTTGAATGTGTTGATAAAATTGCTGCAGAACAAACACCAATTCCACTAGAAACCCTAATTGATGAATATATCCCAAAACTTTTGACATTTTCTGGACACGTCCTGGCCAGTGTGAGGACTGCAGTGATGGAAACGTATTCATCTATTTTATCCCAAATTTTACAACAACTTTCAATTGAAAAACAGAAGAGAAATATCCCGCCAAGTGGAGTTTCTTTAGAAAATTTGTTTTTTCAATGTTGTGCAGAAATTGTTGCGGAAGGTAACGATTATTCTCCAAGTGTTGATGACCTTCTAAGCGATGAAATTAAAAGTGAAATGCCGCATAACTCACGACTTTTAAAACATGCAGTGATGAACGCTGAATTGGTTTTAACGATTGTGAGTTATGCATTTCCACGAAGTGTGTCAAAAATAGTTGGAGAATTGCCCAAGTTATTGAGAATTTTTGAAATAGGTGTCAGGGGGTTGGTTGATAAAAAGGTGATATCTTACATTTCCAAAGTCCGTCGTGATGCTCCCGTTGAAAATCAAAAAAGGGAACGTATTGATGTTTTGTTTAATGGAGCTTTTGTTGTGTCGAAACTACTTTGCGTTGCTAAAAAAAATGGAGAAGATGGAGAAAATTATGTTGTTGACTCAATGGTAACTCCACAATCCATTATGTTTGGAGCGTTGGTTGCTCAGATGAATGGAGATAACACCCGATTTATTAAGGTGAAGTTGGAAGAGATTTACAATAATTATCACTATGAAGACCCAACTTCTTTTGATTGGAAGATTATTGTGGATAATTACAGAGAAATATCAGCGAAGTATAATCTTCCACAAGTGAACAACACACTAGAACTTGTTCAACAACTTGAAACAGTGAAAACAAAAGAACCAGAAAAAACACAAGTGGTTGAAACAATGCTTCAAAAGTATTTGGGTAACATCGAGGCTATTGTATCACGAACAAAAGCAACAATTTTGGGTGGAATTTTTCCAAAAGTTAACGACTTGAATATTTTATTCGAACCAATTCTGAGAGAAATTTCACCTTTGTTGACAGAACATTTTTCAAAAATATTTCACACTATTTATAAGACACAACCAGATACACGAACATTGGGAATATTCTTTAATTTGCTGCTGAATTGGTTAAAAGGAAAATATGAAGTTGTAAGCGAGACAATCAACAGTGGAGAAATCAATTTCTATAAAATAGACCCTCCATATTCTTTGCACTTTTTCATGAAATTTTTGGCACAACACGAGGAGTACCATCCATACCTCCTTTCGATTTTAACACCACTACTCACAAAAGCTCCACCTAAAGACCCAACATCATCATTATATTTCATATTTTCTATCATGGTGTTGCCTTTCTTGCCAACATGTCCTTTGCATGTAGACCATTTGAAAACACTTTTGACAGACATCGACAGCGCACATGCATATCTAATTGCTACAACTCTCTCAAGATTGTTAAGACTTCATAAAGATATTCTTTCGATATTTATCACTTTAATATACCCACAACTCTCTGTGACATCAACAACACTCAACGCAGCACTCCATATATTCCATTATATGTGTTTGTCTCCTTCAATGGCAACATTACTTATACCAATATTTCCACTCTTGATCACACCATTTTTATCTGTGATGAACTCGAACCACGAGAACACAGTGAGGAGACTTGGAGCACAGTGTTTCAGTGTAGTATTACGATACTTGCCATTGCATGTGACGCCACCAGCAGATTTGCCCGACAACTTGAAGAATGAAATTGAACAGAGAAAGATATTCATCTCCTTTTTGTTTGACGGAGTTAGGAGCCAGTCCATTGCACAATTCGCTGTGTTTAATCACCCAATCAATGGAAAGTTACGGCCTTATCAATTGGACGGTATTTCATGGTTACTATTTCTTAATAAGTACTGTATCAACGGGATTTTGTGTGATGATATGGGTCTTGGGAAAACATTACAAACGTTGTGTATGCTTCTGACTGTTCATGCAGAAGCGGAGTATCCGAGTATGATAGTGTGTCCACCAACACTTACTGGTCATTGGAAGCACGAAATCGAAGCATTCATTAACACAAACGATTTAAAGGGGATTATATACTCTGGCAGTGCAAAGGAAAGAATCCATATTTTGAGTGGATTGAAGAGTAAAGACATTTTGATAGCTTCATATGAGATGATCAGACATGACCTTGATTCCTTCAAGAACAAACGGTTTACATATTGTGTACTTGACGAGGGGCACATCATTAAAAATCCAAAAACAAAATTGACCCAAGCTGTGAAACAAATTATGTCACTTCATCGACTCATTTTGACTGGAACACCAATCCAAAACAACGTATTGGAGTTATGGTCATTGTTTGACTTTTTGATGCCAGGGTTTTTAGGCACTGAAAAGGAGTTTTCGGAAAGGTACTCAAAACCAATTTTAGCCGCAAAAGATTCTGCAAGCCCAGAGGATCAGGAGAGGGGAGTAATTGTGATGGAGAAATTACACAGACAAGTTCTTCCGTTCATATTGAGAAGACTGAAAGAAAGTGTGTTACAAGACTTGCCACCCAAAATTATTCAAGATTATTATTGTGATATGAGTCCAGTCCAGAAAATGTTATACCAAGAGTTTGAATCAACCAATGATGTTGAAGAAATGGTCCAGAAAAAGGATGAAAGTGCAAAGCAGAAGAACCACATTTTCCAGATTTTAACGTATTTCCGAAGATTGTGTGTCCACCCGAAACTGGTATTGGACGACAACCACCCGATGAAGGCAAAAGTCGATGCTTATTTGAAAGCCGAGGGGAAGACTATTGATGATATTTCGAATTCCCCAAAACTTCTTGCATTGGAGGAGTTGCTTAAAATGTGCAACATAGGGAAAGACGGAGAACATCGAGTACTTATTTTTGCTCAATTGAACGTAACATTGGAACTTATTGAGGAACAGATATTCAAGAAGTCATTTCCATATATTTCATATTATCGATTAGATGGTTCTGTCCCGACTCACAAAAGAACTGAAATCGTCGAGAAATTCAAAAATGATCCGACAATAGATGTGCTGTTATTAACAACACGTGTTGGAGGGCTTGGACTCAACTTGACCGCTGCGGACATCGTTATATTTATGGAACACGACTGGAACCCAACAAAAGATTTACAAGCAATGGACAGAGCGCACCGACTTGGACAAAACAAAGTTGTCAACGTGTATAGACTGATTGTCAGACAGACGCTCGAGGAAAGAATCATGAATCTTCAAGAATTCAAGACTAAAATAGCGAATACTGTTGTCACAAGAGAAAATGAAACTTTTGCCGGGATGAACGCAGGGAGTTTTGTGGAACTCTTCGACTCAAAAGAAGAGAAAAAGCCCGAGAAAAAGAACGAAAAGGGAATTTCTGCTTTGCTTACATCACTTGGCGACTGGGACGAAGGTGCATATGGAAACGAATTCGACCTGGCTTCGTTTGTTGGAAAAAGTAAATGAGTATGTTCGTTGTTTTGATTAATCAAACAAAGGGATACACTTGATTATAGAACTCTATAATTGTTAAAAATGAAAAATTAAGAATTCTAGATTTAGTAAGAACATGACATCTATTCAATGTAAAATACTTTTGGTTGGAATGTCGGGTGTGGGAAAGTCGCGAATAAAAATCAGGTTTGTACAAGGACATTTTGTTGAAGTGTACGACCCAGTAATGGAAGATCCTTACTTTGTTGATCTTCCTGTCGACAAGAACATGACAGCCACAATTGAAGTTTTGGACAGTGGAGAGTCCGAATGTGAGTATACAGCGCTTAGAGACCAATACTACAAAAGATCGAATGGGTACATTTACGTCTACTCCATTACATCAAATGAGTCTTTCGTCACGTTGGAACATTTCAGACAACAAATTTACAGTGTGAAAGACGCGGATTATTCCGAACAATTTCCAGCAGTTCTATGTGGAAATAAATGCGATCTTGAAAGTGCAAGAGAAGTAAAAACAGAAAGCGGCTTAAATTTGGCTCAAGAGTGGAACATTCACTTTTTTGAGTCATCTGCTAAAAGTGGTGTTAATATAGGAATTTTATTTGGAGAAGTCTCGAAACAAATAGCTTTAAAAACAAAAAACATACAAAAATCAATTATTAAAAAAACAAGTTCTAAAACGTGTTTATTAGTGTAAGGTGTTAATCCAAACTATTCTTAATTTTATACATTGACAATCATTTCAAAATTACATTAGTATATTCAAAAACAACAAAATTGTTATTTAATTATTACTTTTTTTCTTAAAAATTCATTCAAAATGAACAATTTATATATTTTACTATTTTTATTAAAAAACAAAATATTTATAAAATTAATAAAAAATTATTATTCAAAAAACAAATCAAATGTGATACTTATTATCGTCATTGAGTGTTAATATAAAGAAAGTGTAGTGTTCAATTTTGTTGAACTTTTAAACTTCAACTTTTTGAATGTTGAATATTTTATTCAAATTAAATACATTGTTTGTTCAATAATAATAAGTGGGAAAATGGAAATAATGTTTTTGCTATCATTTTGAAAAATAAACAAGAAAAATCCACAACAAAAACATCTTATCATTAGATCAACATAGTTGAACTTGAAAGTATAGAATTGCGACAGTGCTTTAAGAATACATAAGAACAATAATTGTTTGCTTATTTAGTTTGATGGTTAATTTAAAATAATTTAATAATACGATATAATAGCTATAAAAGTTTTTTTTAATTGCAAATTAAACATGGCGAATTCTTTTGTGAAACAAGTCAATGCCAAATATTGTAATGAGTTGGACTTCAGTGATCAGCGTGATTTTGAAGACTCAATGAGAGGGTTTATCTGTTCTATTGACGGAGGAGTCATACCAAAAAACCAAGGTGGTAAAGCGTTTGATTTTCACGAAACCGACTTTATCTCAGGACCATGCCCTGACACAGTCAACCCTTCTTTGTGGAGACAAAGCCAGTTGGTAAGGATAGCTGGACTTTTTGAATTGATACCTGGACAATTGTATCAGTTTAGAGGTTTTGATGTTGCGAATATGTCTTTTATACGAGGTGAAAATGGGTGGCTGATCATTGACACATTGTGCTGCATGGAGGCTGCAGCTGCTGGACTTAAACTTCTCAGAGAGAAAGTAGCTAATCTACCAGTTACTTGTATCATGCTGACACATTCGCATGGAGATCACATCAGAGGACTTGAAGGTGTTTTGGAAAAAAAGACAACAATGGTAATTCCAAAAGATATGTTTAAGATGCATTTTACAGAAGAACTTCTTGCCGGGACTGCTATGGGAAGACGAAGCTTTTTCCAATTTGGAACCGAGTTGGAACATAACTCAAAGGGCGTGTTGGGTTGTGGTGTGGGTACATATTTTTCAATGGGGCAATCAACATCTTCTTATGATTTTGACCCTAATAACCTTTACGAAATTGGAGAGGATAAGACATTGACAATTGATGGTGTTGAAATCGACTTTATGTACACTCCCAATTCAGAGGCTCCGACAGAAATGATGATGTACTTCCCCAAATTAAAAGCAATTTGTACAGCAGAAGAAATCAATAGATCAATTCATAATTTGTATACACTAAGAGGTGCTGTGGTGAGAAATGGAAAAGATTGGTCTAAGTACATAGATAATTTAGTGGCGAGATACTCAGAAAGGGTTGAATGTTCGTTTGGATCACATACATGGCCAACTTGGGGAAACAAGAATATTGTTGAATACTATGAAAAGCAGAGAGACATGTACAAATTTATACACGATCAAACTTTGAGACAGGCTAATTTGGGAACAACAATAAATGAACTCACCGAGAAAGTAAAACTACCAAAAAGTCTTACATCGGTGTATTACAACAGAGAATATTACGGCACTGTTTCTCATAACACTAGAGCTCAATACCAAATGTATCTTGGTTTTTATGATGGTAATCCAGCAAATTTAAATCCACTCACACCTGTTAAATTGGGGACAAAATACGTGGAAGCAATTGGAGGAGAAGAGATGTGCATTTCAATTGCAAAAGAGTCATTTGAGAAAGGAGAATACCAATGGGCAATTACAATGCTTAACAATGTAGTGTTCAAAAATCCTCAAAACTCGGAAGCAAGAAATTTACTTGCAGAAATTTATAGGCAAAACGGCTACATGCAAGAGAGTGCGGTATGGAGAAATATATATTTGACAGGTGCTTTCGAACTTGAACACCCAATACAAAAACAAGAAAGGACCACAAATGATGTGACCAGTACTTATTTACTCATGAAATTGTCTTTTAATTATTTGTTTGATTTAATGGCAGTTTCGATGGACCCAAGCATCGTGGAAAAAGTGGATGCAGTTATCAACGTTGTTTTTAAAGACACAAAAGAAAGCGGCAGTTTAATACTGAAAAACTCGGTTTTAAACAATAGAGTTCATACAGACAAACATCCAACAACTTCTGTCACTTGCAAAAAAGACAACCTTGTCGGCCTTATTGTGAAAAAAATTGATAAACACGAATTTTTAAAGCTTGACACAGTTGAAGTCGAAGGTTGTGCAGAAGATTTATTTACACTTTTTGAGGCAATTACAATTGCTAATCCCGACTTTAACATTATTGAACCTTAATTCAATCAACTTTTTATGACTCTATTTATAACACCATTATTAAAGTAATTTTTATTCATATTATTTGTTTAAACAATATGATAAAAGGTGATTTTTAATTTCAGTTTTAAATTTTTATATTATTAATTTTCTGCTTTTTAGTGGATAAAAAAATAATAAACAGCCAAAATTTTTACCGTTATAATTATAATTGTAAAATTCGAGTTATTTTATCATTTATTTTTTTCAATGTTATTTGAAAAAGTATTTATACAAATAATTGTAACAATTTAAAAAAAAGATAACTTTTTGTGTCTCGATGATATTTTTCTACTTTTTATAACTATTTATAGTAAATAACAATTTATATTTAATATAGTTTATTTTATTATATTTAATTAAATCATTATTTTTTATAATAATCAAGTCACAATTATGCTGCAAAAATTTGTTTAAATGTATGACGTTAGTTAAACATAAATTAGTTTTTATTTGTTGTAAAAACACACAAATTCAAATTAAAATAATTAATTCAATTAAATATATCAGTTGAAATTGTAATAGAGATTTACTATTATAATTAATTTAACATACTATTCAAACTATTAATTTTATTTTAAAGTTGTGTATTAGTGAAGTTATAACCATTATTATTATTAATAAAAAATTTAAATAAAAAGATTATTTATGGAATTGAATCTTGTTTTAGAATAAACTTGTTTGTTTTGATTGAATAATGAAATATAAAAATATGTTGTCCAATTAAAAATAATTAAGAAATAAAACAATTTAAAAAGCAATTTATTATTATTAAAATTTTCAATTTCTATAACTTATTTACCATATCATCGATTTTGCACAATTACAAAAACTCAAAAAGCGATTAAATATAAAGAGCAGATTTTTTTTGTTTTTTTCCAAAACTTTTCTTAACTGAGTGTTTATAGATTTGATGAAACTTTAAATTTCTATAGCTTATTGTAATCACATGAAACTGAAGGTTTGTTCTATATCATACATTTAGAAATGAATAACTTAAACATAGAAGTCACGTTTGTTTCTCTTTCCTAAATTGCTAAAAACGTTTTTGCAATGACCAGCAGCAAAACCATTTCAAATCAAATTAGAAAGTATTGCAGACGACTTCCTCACCGACCATATCCCAACGTTTTTCTGGCAAGTAGGTCGTTCTCTTTTGGAACATCCATGTGAAGGTATATTTCGTATGACTGGAGATGTCGCGCAAATTTGCGACATGAAAAAGAAAATTAATAAAAAGATAGACATCACAAAAGACATGACATACCCAGACCAAATGTACTGCTTAGCCGGCGTCCTTTCTGGCTTTCTCAGAGAAATGCCCAAACCAATTTTGAACTACTCCGACAAAGCTATTTTAGCCACGGTATTCTCTCGTTTTAGGAAAGTTACAGACCTTCCACAAACAGTCATTGCTGTGAATTTGGCTCTCAGAAGAGTTGAACCACTTCGAAGACGCTATCTTTTTTTCTTGTTAAATTTATACTACTCCATCTCGAAGAAGAGTGATGTCAACAAGATGACATTTTGTTTGTTTTCATAAGAAATTATATATATATCTTGACACACAGCCAAAATTGGGATTTGTGTTGCCCCATCTTTCTTCTCGAGAGAATTGACGTACATCACAACAACCACTGAATCAATAGATTCTCAAATCGACATCGTTACAATGCTTATCACATTGTATCCACTCATCAGCCCAGTTTGTTTTCATTTTCGATATTGTTTTCATTTGTCCAAAACTCATTGCAAGGAATTCGAAGAGTCAAAAAACGTTATAAAGCCCTGTTACAATCTGACTGAAGAAGAAACACGGACAATACTCAAAAACCCTGCAAATTACAATCTTGGGGACATTCACTTATGCCAAAAGCCGCTTATCGCAACACCACACAAGAAGGCCTTTGCGGCGTCGAACTGAGCACTCTGTATTTTATGTTTCTTCTGAAAAGAAATAAATATTAATTTAATCACAATGTACCATCTGATTGATAAAACGGAAAAAATCGCATGTTCTTCAAATACTCCAATTAGTAATTTAAATAATTTCGAAGTTTCTGATTTGAATGAAAAAAGTTTGTTTTTTCAATTAGATGTTCCAAAACATCATTTTATTAGTTTTAACCATCAAAAATCATAAATAAATTTATACTTTCTAATAAAATAAAACTCCCTTTTTATCTATATGTTTATAGCTCCACAAACTATAACTCTAGCTCATACTTTTCTAAGAAAGAATTTCGACCTTTTTAACTAAAATAAAAAAATTAACAAAACTTGAGAAGACCAAAAACGATGTTTTTTTTGTTTCTACTACTATGTGCCCTTTCTGTCTCCAAGTTTTCGGTTTATGTTTTCGATGTTGGGATGGCCGACTCACAACTAATTGTATACCCAAGTGGATATTCTATACTTATTGACTTGGGAGAAGAGTTGAACAACCACAAACCAACCAATGCGGAGTATGTTGCCACAAGGGTTGAAGAAATTTTGGGGAAAAAAGAACTAGATGTCGTTGTTCTGACGCATTTGCACACGGACCATTATGGATACTACAACCAAAATGGGTTATGGCATTTATTTAACGTTAGTGGATTCACTGCCAAGAAGTATATTGATAGAGATTTTGGTGTTTTTACTGGAGATTCCACATATGGCTGTGATGAATCTTCCTTCACGTATCACAACGTTGGAGAGTACACAAAAGCGATGTTGTTATATGGTTGCCAAGTGCAGAACACAAAGAAGTTGTCTTATTTGAGTACAATTCGAGAACAGGCGAGGTTGTGTTCAACAAGCCAAATACACCCACCAGACGAGAACAGTGAAGTCGAGATTTTTATTCGTGATGGTGTCGCTGTTGCCCAAAGAGTGGACTAATGGTGACTGGTGACCACCGAAACGACACAAATACCCAAGTGAAAACGACTACTCCATTGGTCTTAGAATCAAATATGGAAATTTTGTGTATTGCACTGCAGGGGATCTTGGTGGGAAGTACACAACACAATTTGACAATACGCTCAATGACATCGAAAGTACCGTCTCTGATATTGTTGGTAGCGTTGATGTCATGCATGCCAACCACCATGGATCAGCATCATCAAACAACCAAAAGTGGTTGGACGCACTCACTCCAACTGTCACGTTGATTTCGTGTGGTAAAGCCAATTCATACAATTTGCCTTCAACGGCTGCATCCAAAAGGTTTTTCGCCACTTCCAAATTGACCATTTCGACCGAACAATGCAACACAGAAGTGGTTGGGGAAACATACCAAGAGTTCAATTCTGACATCATCATTTCTGTTGACAAAAGTTCGTCTAAAAAATTCACCGTCTCGAACAAGGACAATTCCTTCTTAAAGTCATTTGATATTAAACTCAACAAACCAGAAAAAGCAAAGTGTCGAAACGCCGATCCAGATGATTCCAAAAATGGTTTACAGCCAACAGTAGTTGTTGCTTTTGTGCTTATTTTCTTTGCATTTTTTATCTAATTTTATTTTCGTTTCTATTGTTAGTGTTGCAAAATATCAAAAAATTGAATAAAAATGAACAAAAATATGAACGATAAAAAAGTTAATCAAAATTTCATGCATCGTCAAAGTCGAACCATTGCGAAATGGAGAGAACGTTGGACATCTCTTTGACAATACTTTTACACGCTTCGCACTCATAAAACTCCGCAGGTATTTGTGGGTTGCTCGACGGCAACAAAGCATTAGTGCTGCCCGCGTCAGCTGGCAACTTCAGGCTGAACAAGACAAGTCTGCAGAAGACAAACCTGAACAAAATGACGCGTGCAAAGGGGTCGTTCATAAACATCAAAATCGTTTGTGGCATTTTCTGGCAGCTGAAGAACTCTTCTGCCAATTTCTCAAAGAACATCTTAAGTTTGTTGTTACACTCATCTCGTGTGTCACTTGTCATTTGATCAACACCAGTCATTCTACACAACGCACCCAATGAATCATTCAAGAACATGTTGAAAATTGAGTCCTTCTTATTCGCAAACACCTGGACGTATTTGCTTTGTGTCTTTGTGAAGACAGAATCACTTGGCAACGGGCATGTATGTAATTGCCATGATCCTATTGGTGCAAATAAACTCAAATAAGGCACATCGAAGCTTTTTTGAGTCAGTTGAATGAAAGAGTTCTGAACATCCGAATCGATGATCAACAAAATTGGTTTTCTCAAAAACGGCATTAAGTCCTCCGGGTGTAAGACGTGTTGTTGATTACCATACGATGCCATGAAGAGTCCGTTTTGACTTGAATATCCTTGGACAACATCTTCTTGTACCGTCGATGACAAGTACAACAACATGAACGTGTTGTTTGGCATATCACATATCGTTGAAGCAATGTAGTTCAATATTTTAGGGATACTCACATTCCTCAGCAAATGCTTTCTTGGGTTTTTCCATTCGTTCATTTGTTCTCTTGCTTTGATGTGAGTTTAGTTTTAATCGACATATTCATTAATAATTAGCAAGAAAAACAAACGTGTCAACTGGTAATTGAACTCGAGGGTATGCATCATTCTCAAAAGCGAAATGGACAGTTCGCTGAACGAGAAACTATTTGGTTTGTTGTCGAGAAGCACCGCGGAATACATTGTTAATCCATGTGGTTGTGTTGTTTTTGGTTTTGTGCTGAAGACAATTTGTGGGTTGATTCGAGAGAGCGCAGAATACGACATTCTCCCTTCTCTGTTTGTCACAATGAAATTTACAATATTCAACACTATGTACTTCATTTCCTCTGCAAGCAGTTGGTGGCACTGGAAATTCGGTTGCACCAACTTTTCTGTTGCAAGCTGCGCCGAAGTCAGTGCAAAATCGCTCAACACGTTCTCACCTTGTTTCAATTTGTCAGTTAACAGACAGACAAGCAAGAAACGTGCGTGGAACCTCAAAGTCCTCTACACATTAGCGTTCATCACAATAAAAGCAATACCATTTGTGGCTTTTCAGTTCCAATTTTGGACATTTATTATTCATATTTTTAAAACCACTTTGGTAGTACAAATATTCAACCAGTAGAATTAAAAATATACAAAACCACCGAGAAAAAGTGAAGTGAGAAAGTTAGTTAAGTAAAAGTGTTAAAAAAGCCACAAAACGTTTTGCCCAAAAAATGTCGTAAGAATATCGAAACAAACCTGTAAAACAAAAGACCTTTGAATAAGAGAGTCCTCTTTGTAATAATTGTGCTTTTTGATCTCCTGATAGTAAGTCGACGATTCAATCAAAAATTGCGTTTCTGATGTCCTGAGATAGTAGTGGTAATATAATTGCGCTATTTTTGCCGCTATCTCCCCCACATCATATCTTTTGAATTTCGCCTTCCCGTTCTCAAGGGCGCTTCTGTACGTTTGTTGGAGTTTCCACAATTTCGCGAAGGTTGTGAACGTGCGTTGGTATAGTGGTCTCCACCCTTCACCCAAAAATGATGTCTCGTACAGTTGTGAAAACAAAAGTGACGACTTTTCGCATAATTTAAGGTATTGGTCGCAAATACGGTCGTCTTGTTGTCGAGGTGATTGTGGTGTGTGTTGGATAGACATAAAGTTCTGTCAGATCTTTTTTTCTTTTTACAAAAGATCACTTCATCTATTTTTAGAGCGGGGTTTTTCTGGTCTTACAAAGTTCAAGTTCAAATTTGAAGTTTTTCTCTTCTTTTACTTGTTATTTTTTTATTTTGTTGGTTTACTTCCCCAATATTTGGGTGTATTCCACACAACACATTATTTCGGTATTAATAATTTTGTCAATATTATTTGGAAACCCTATAATTTGTATTCCAATTTAATTAATTTATTCGAATTAATTACTACAGTCTGTCTTTTAACGTTATCTGGTGCCTTTTGGACCATAAAAAATGGAATAATTCGGGGAGCAGTCCCAAAAATTTATTATAATTGTTTCGGGTTTTTTCACACTTTACCTAATGCCCGATGTTTAGACAAAAATGAAGCTATTTTTTGTCCACCAGATAACGTTAAAAGACTGACTCTAATTAAATTGTATATAATTGATCGAATTATTTTATAATTAAATTTAATATATTTTATAATAATTTATTGGTTTCCACTAAACAAGTATTATCTCACCAACATTTAACACATCAAAAATAAAAATAATTATTAATTAATATAATTAATATTGAATGGTTAAATATATACAATACTAAATCTATGTTTTGTTTTCTAAAGTCAATATTCGATGAGAGGGCTATTCATTATAAGGATTTATTTGATAAGAGACCATGAAATAAGAGGGAGGTCTCTTATCAAATATTGAAAAAAAAACCAAAAAACAACAACTTCTTTTTTTTGCTATTTTTTAATAATTTCTTATCCAAAACTCGAAAATGGCAATACATAAACCAAATTGTCATTAAGTTTTAAAAAAATTAAAATGATTTTTAAAATTATTTTAAGAGCAAACGAGTTTTTTATCTAAAACCGAAATAATGTTAATTAACGTGTCGTTGGAGCGTGTTAAATTTTTATAAAACAACGCATGTTTATTTTTAAAACCAAAAGTTGTCATATTGCTCTTAATTTGTTCGTTCTAATACTGTTTATGTTATCTGTCAGTTTAATGATTATATAACGGACGTTTTGTGTTTTAATAAACACTAATAAAATAAAGCATTTGTTTTTCATATTACGAATTATAAAAGTTTTTATAAAAAATGGCAAAAATATTTTTTGGGTGAAAATATAATTTGGAATTTTGTTGAGACAAAAACAAAATGAGGTATTTTTTGTTAATTATTCAAGTTTTTATTATTTGACCTTATATCGAATAAGACTGAAACATGGACTGGACTATTATCGAATATATACTGTATTATAATTATAATAAATCAATATATCATTTAGAAAAGTCTTGATTTGATCCATTTATCAGTATGTCTTCATCACTGCTCCTTGTATCCCTTCAATGAGTGCTCCTTATCAACGAATAAAACTGTTGATTTAAAAAATTAATATTGGTTTCTTCAAATTTTATTTTTAAATTGATGTGTAGAAATCAATGTGTTAATGCAGTTGGTCAATTTTGATGTTTGCTGTTACTCGTGCACATGATACTCCGCGTTTTAGTGAAATCTCTTATACTTTCTCTGGGATTTCTATAAGTTGTTGATTATACACTAAGTATCATTTTTGTATTTGTGATTGTTAGGCATTTTTTTATTTTTAAACAAACTATAAATTATAGTTTAATTTATCCTTCATTGATAATTATGTGTAGTTGTTTTCAAGTTGTTTGTCAGCCCTAAAATTGGAAACGGTAACAATATAACTATTTATTTGTTCATTTAATAAAAATTAAATTATACCAAAAAACAAAAACAATTTCAATACAAAAAATGGTTGAATTAAAAGCAATCAAATTTCATATCTACCACCATTGTGTTTTTTAATTTTGATTATTTCAAGACAATGGATAAAAAGTTACACTATCAATTTGTAATAGAACTAAGGTTTTGATTGTTATTGTGATTATGTTCCCGAAAAGTTAGAATAGAAACGTTTGTTTTTGTAGCAATTAAGATGATATTAGAAAGTCGCCTCAATTAATAAATTTCAATCATAATGATGAATCAAAATAAACGAAAAAAATAAAATTCTCTTGTTGTCCCGATTTGTTACAAATAGTTATACTAAAATGGCTTTTTAATGTTTAAATACAAAAGTTTTAAACAAATAAAAAATAAATTATACTTATAATTGTTTATAAATAAAAATTAAACCCTATTTGAAGATCAGAATTTTTGAGTTTAAAAGTCTTTATTTTTAAATTGGAATAACAAAGATGAGTTAACTAGTTATATTTATATATAATAATTCATTAATTATTTCTTTATTTGTTATTAATTAAATTATAAAAATAAGGCATTCTCCTTATTAGTGTCAATGACGGAGTATCAAAATGGGCGAACATTATTTGGCGACTCTTTTTTTTTCAAAAATTTTGAACAAAACTCAACAATTTTATTTACTAAATAATTCAAATCATATGAAATTGGCGAAAAATATGTAATTAAATTAAAAAAAACCCGAACCAATCCACTTTCTCCTGCTATTTTTTAACTTTAATAATTCTTCCCAAAAACGTTTTTTTTGTTCACATAGTATGGCAAAGTTGATTTCTTATGAAAAATAACTATTTTTCCCGTTTTTTCTTTCTACCTACCAATTCTATAATCAACAAACAAAAATACCTAACTCACAACCGAAAAACGCCGTAACTTCGATATTAAAAAATACTGATTGGACAAAATTTTAAATTAAAAAAAACACACTATTTAAACTTCAGAGAACTCATCAGAACAAAATCATGGATGTACAGCGACAGGGATACCAGAAGAAGATCAAGGTGATGGATTCTAACGCGCCGCACACGCCAAAACATAGAAGTTACAAACTTTCTGATACACGTAAATGGTCGTCGACTAACGCTCTTCCATCTCCTTTACGGCAATGTTTATTTGTTTCTGATGAAGACAGTTTACAAACAAACAGACCACAACGTTCGTCTTCACCTTTGACTGAACTGGCTGATAATGAGGTCGCGGCTATACTCTCGGCAAATACAGAGTTTCAGTTCGTTTCGCAATCGACCCCCATTGATAGATCAGATTCTGTTGTTCCACATATTTCACCATCCCTTACTAATAAAACACCTGAAAGCAACTTCGCACTGAACGAGGACGAACAACCCCAGTATTTCCAGCGCTGCAGCAACCCAGGCATCCTCGAATAATAGTAGTCTGTAAATTGTAACTTATGTGTTGTACATTTTGTTCTTCATTTTTCTTATCATCTCTTCCAAACACCAAAAACGATCTTTTTTCATAATTAATCGCCCTTTTTTATTATACACTTTTTTATAATAAATACAATTATTGATTATTAATTTTTGTTCAACTGGATTTGTATAATAAAAGTATTAACATAAATATAGTAACATAAAAACGAGAAATATTGTGATTAAATGTACTATAATAAACCAAATTTTATTTTATTAAATATGGTACAATTTGTTATTTTAATACATCTCCAAAAGTTCAGAAAGAACTACAAAAAATAAAAAAAGATCATACAAAAAACCTGAAAAATATGATTTTAGCAAAAAAACTAAAAAAACTAAAAAATCCTATTTTATAGAAAACAATGGTGGCACATGTTCTACCGTTTTTACTTTTGGTTTTTCTGGCACTTGGTGACACTTTACCACAGACAAATGTGACGATCGACATCGCGTCAGTCAAAAATTCTTTGGTAAAAGAAGTTATTCCGCGTTTTAAAAATCACATCGAGAAGATCAACAAACAACAACCAACTGTGAAACAAAATTTGGAAGTATTGGTGACAAAATGTGAAAAAAAAGGAGAACGTCTCAAGAAACGCGTCGAGGAAGTCAAAGTCAATATGAACAAATATGTTGTGAGGATGGAGGAAAACGACTCACTCAAACGTGGAGCTATGACGAAGTTGAACAAAGCAAAGAAAGAGAAAGATACAACAAACATAGCAGCACAAACTTCCATCCTTTCAAAATACGCCGCTGCGTGCTCGAAGACTGAAACAAAACTGAGGAAAATGCAAAATAAGCTTCAAAAATTAGCGCAACAAGTCGAAGAGAACAACACAGCACTGAGAAAACGAAGAGCAGCATTAAAACAATGTGACGAACTCAAAAACATTCGAATTGAGCGAAACAATGCGACTATTGGAGAAATCGAAAGTTTAATTAAAAAACAAGAAATGTCAACTGCACAAATTGGAATAATGAAAACAAAGATGGAGGAATTGAAAGGCGTTGGTATCGTTAATGGCGAATATGACACAATAAGACGTCAGATAGTCAAAGCAGAGAGAAAGGAGAGCAAAATAGAACAGATGTTGGACGACCTTTTGAAGGCGATGAACAAGAGAGAAGCCCTTAAAAAGAAGTTTAAAGAGGAGAAGGAGATTCTTGTCGAAAAGCAACAAACTGTCAAGACGCAGTTAAGCAGGGACAAAGCAGTTTTGCAGCGAATTGTTACACGAAAGGAAGCCGCATTGAAAAAGAAACTTTCAGCAACCACACAAACTGAAAAGAACGAGGCCAAAAATGAAATCAAAACAATCAAATTGGAGATGAAAGGGTTGAAACAACGTGTGAATGACAACGCAAAAGTAATGAAAGGGATAAATAGACAAATCGCTCTTTTGAAAAATGAATATGAAGCAAAGAAGAAAATTATTGCTGGGAAACTTGTGAGAGAGAAAATTACACAACTCAAGGAAGAAAGAACTGACATTCGAAAGAGAATCCAAAATTTGATGAAGCGATACAACAAAATTGAGCGAATGGTCCTCACTGAAGACATGGAACCGGCAAAGAAAACTGATTTGAAGACACGTCTTGGTCAAATAGAAAACGATGTCAAAATTGCTCGCGTCTCTCTCAAGACCGTTTCTGATGAAATCAAAAAGTTCTACGACGAAAAAGCTGCGCGGAAGGAAAAGAAACTTTCAAAGATGAGACAAATGAAATTTGCATTGGACAAAAAAATTGTACTTCTCCGCCGGTTACGTGGGATGGTCGAGAAGAAGTTGATGAAAGAAAAAAGCTCGACACAGCGCAAGATGTTGTTTAAGAAGATCACTGCAATGAACAAAAAGATTCGACTCATCCGAAAAAGGTCCATTCGAATTGGGTTGTCGTTACAGCGACACGTCATCAAGAAAGCAAGAAAAGGATCAAAGCGGTTAATACACCTCGAGAGGAAAGAACGATCCATTCGAGGATATCTTTCACGTCTTCAAGTTAGAAAAGAGAAGTACTCTGCCTCGCCAAAGATGGTAGCAGCACTTCCACAAGTCAAGAGATTAGTCAGTGAGAGTACATCACGACTGAAAAAAATCAACGAGCAGTTGAAGCATACTGAAGACGAGGTTGAAAGATATGAAGCAGAGGTGAAGGAAATTAAGAAACTTGCACGTGAAGAGGCACAAGTTCAAGTTGTTGAGTTGCAAAAGAAGATACATGGAGTGAGTGCCCGTATCAAAGCGTTGAGTGGGAGAAAGGGAGAGAAGATACATGATATCAGAGTGATGTTAAGACTGAAGAGAGATAGATTAAAAAGACGACTTCAGAGAAACAAGAAAATAGCGGAAACACGACAGAGGGAAGAAGGGGTATTACGTTTCAATAAATCGCTTCGTCTTGGCACGAAGAAGATTCGTAAAGTCATTTCATTGAGAGAGAGGGCCGCCTACTTACAGCATAAAGTTCAAGAAGCAAAAGAGTTAAGAAAGAATTTGGGCGATGTCTTAACCAAAGGAAGTGTCAAAGAAGAGGTGGACAACAAGAGAGATCAACTGAGTGTTACCCAAACGAAGTTGAAATTGAAACTTGAAAAGACCGAGTTTGAGACGAGACTTGCTGTGCAAACACTTTTCCAGGCTTCTGGTGAGGAAAGAGCAATTTACGAAGCGACGAACGAAAGACTTAACAACGAGTTGAAAATGTTGAAAAAACAAGTAGCCAAAGTTGAGTCGACGTTGAACCAAACACAATTCATCAAAGATGCAGATGAACAGAAATTGGCAGTATTGGACGACCTTAAAAAAGACGTTAAAAACACACAAAAAGCAATTCAAGAAATACAGATCCAAAGCCAACATTTCACTGACTTAGTCGTCCAAGCAACAAAAGGCGTTTTTGATAAGGATGTACCACAAAAGGCCAAGTGTGAAATGTGCACATTCCTTGCAAGAGAAGCGTTGACTGAAAGAAAATATAATGCAGAGGGAAAAATCCAGGTCATGAGAAAGATGGACCGTGTTTGCAGAAAGTCGAAATATCCAACAACATGTTACCAGATCATCACAAAAATTGGGTCAAGAATATACAACGACATCAAGTCACCAAGCTCCTTGTGTTCTTCTCTCTACAAAACTTGCTAATCATTTCTTTTAATTTTTTGGTATCCCTTTTTATCACCACTTAGCCTTATTACTTTTCTTTCTCAAGTAATAAGATTCTTATTTCTTTAAAGTAAATTCTTCACACTCTTCAAAACAACACTCAATTCTCAATTAATGATGTGGGATTGAGTGTTTAAATGTTTTAACATCCGAAGCTATTCAATTGATTTAATAAAAGGATAATACTACCACTTAAAGTGGTAAATACACATGTCATAACGTTCCAACAAAGTCGAAATCAGTGGGTTATTTTGTGTGTTCGGTAAAAAAAGGGAATATTTGTTATTCAAATTTTTTGTGGAAATGAAATGAAAATTACAACTAGAACTGGTAAAGTCAAAAAATGTCACAAGATTTGTTTGTTCATTTAGTTTTCAGTGCTAAAAACCAAAAATGCAATTAACCTAATTCAACAGCAACTCACTATGTAGTGATTACCTCTTCAAAATTCTTCTCATTGGAGATTCCGGTGTTGGAAAGAGTTGTCTTCTTCTACGGTTTGCAGACGACGTTTTTTCGAAGACATACATCACGACAATTGGTGTTGATTTTAAAATTAAAACGATGAAAATTGATGGCAAAAATGCAAAGCTTCAAATTGTTTGTTATTGTCAACACCACTTCGATTATTCTGACTTCTAGTGGGACACTGGTTTGTTCAATTTTTTGTGAAATGGAAGAAACTCATAGCAAGCTGGACAAGAACGTTTTCGGACCATTTCTGCTTCATACTATCGTGGTTCACATGGAATCATTGTTTGTTCTTATTACTACACAAATATTCGTTTTTCTCCCAACCGTGTTGTTTTATTTCAAAGCAAATAAGTGATAAACAAAAGTTATAATTATTAAAACTATAAATCAACTAAACTTGCAAGACCAAGAAATAGTTTGCTAGTTGCAGAACTAAAGATAAATGTTAATAGAAAAGAAACTAATCGAGCAGATTGTTTACGATGTGACAGACATCCAGTCATTCAATCATGTTCGTCAGTGGTTGGGTGAGATAGAGGGGAACGCCTCTCCTGACGTGATTAAGATGCTCATTGGCAATAAAGCAGATAAAGATGCAGTGAAAAATGTTCCAACTGAACAAGCCGCTGAATTTGCAAAACAAGAAGGAATGAAGTTTTTTGAGACTTCAGCGAAGCATGCAATTAATGTCGAGGAAGCATTTGTCGAGTTAGCAAAAGAGATTAAAATGCAGATGAAAGACGCACCACAAATCACAGAGAGCTTAAATATCGCAATCAAGCCAAAAGTTGAGGAGAACTCAACACAAGCACAGTGTTGGTGTATGTAACTAACTGTGTTGTTCTTTGCTTCATTTATACAAAAAATTAGAATAACAAATATTCAATAAGTCTATTACAAATTTAGTGTTTACTCATTTGGATAAACACAATTCAAAGGCGTGGTCGATCATTTTTTTGTTATGAATTTCGGTTGCTTGGATTGCGTCTTCCACCTCTAATATTTGTGTTTTCAACGACTCGACTTGTATCTTACAATCAGACATATCTCGAGCACGTTTGATGTTCTCCTTTTTAATTATTTCTTTGTGTTCGATTTCTTGCTTAAGTTTGTCAATGGCATCTTTCAATTGTGTTTTGTCATCCTTAGCTTGTAAAAACATATCTTTGATTTCACTATCCTTCTTGCTTTCCATGGCATTACTTCCGTTAACTTCGTCTAACTTTTTTTGAAGTTGTAAAACTTTCAAATTGATGGTTCTCAACTGCCTTATCTCAATATTTTGAGTGTCCTCGTGTTGTCGTTTTATTGCGTCTTTTTGTAAATTGGAGACAATTTCGTTATTCAAAGCAAGCTCTCGACGGCTGTTCTCGACTTCTTGTTGAAGACTCTTGAGCACAGCCTCCTTTCTTGCTATTTCATCTTTATAAAACTCGTCTGTCTCTTGGATCTTTTTTGTCAATGTCGGGAAAATCTGTTCATTGATTTCTTGAACTCTGTCGAAGAATTTTTCTTTTGTCTCATTAACATTGTGTCTCTGTATTGGTTGAGGTTGCAAAGTAGAGAATGGGGTGGAATATGGTGATGGTACTGTTTGTTGCATCATTTGTTGTGGTTGTTGAAGAGGTATGTTTGGGTAATAAGGATTTGGCGAAAACGTGTTATAATTAGGTTGAGGAAATCTGTTGTAATTTTGGTTGGGATTTGGTTGAGGTCTGAAACGGGTGTTTGGGTTCTGTGGGTGTGTTCTATTGTATTGATTATTCATCGAATGAGCAAAGTTAGTTCTGAAAAAAGATAAAAAAATGATTAAATCCATTGCCCTTATAATTCCCAATATTTAGTACACAATTGTTGTAAATAATTTGAAAAAGATACAAATAATTATATTCTTGTATTCACCTTAATTCTTATCTTAAAAAAAAAGATGAAAAACTCAAATTAAAGGAATTGAATGTCATGTAGTGTTGAAAACGAAGAAGTTGAGTTGTGGCAAGTACTTTCAGAAAAATACTTTGTCCTTTTACGTTGCGAGGAGTACCACCTCACCCGGCAGACGATTATAAGCAAAGGGTCACTTCTCTACAAAGACGAACGAATCAAGTTGATCAATTTAGCCAAGACCCTCTTTTTGTCAGTCAACGAACTGAAACCGTACATTAACCAACCAATTTCAAATGACATTGGACAAGACATGTTACAATACTTCGGACAGAAACTACCCGTCCCAGTGAATTACCTCAAGCAGGCATTATTTCCCCTCGTTGTTGTGACGTCTTCTGTCATGAATATATCCAAAAAACTCGAATTGGAGGTCAACGACCAAACAACGTACGTCATTGCATTACCGGCACCATTACCCGAAATCGTTCATGACACACAACCCGGTTTTAAAAGTAAAAAGTGCTCATATGAAAGCCCGGAAGAAGCAGTAACGCTCTACGACACAGATTTAACAACCCATGAGTTCTATACATTTCCATTCAGTTACTGTCTTTGTCTAGGAAACGACTTTATCAAGAAATTGTCAATTGGCAAACATACTCTTTACACCTCTAATAACAATGTGTTGGTCGCGTTCAACGGGGATTACAGCACAATTGATGTTTTGGTCGAAAAATGTATGGACGACGAGACCAAAAATGTTGTTGTCGAGTATAGCAAGAAGACGGTGGTTAAAATTCGCGACACAAACGGAAGGCTTTTGAAGTACCCAAGTCGCGGAAAGCATTGCCACCACACCAATTATTATGAAATCCAAAATGTCGTCAAGCACGTAGTGCAATACTGCACCTGTCTCTGTGGTACCACTTGTTCGTACAACGACATCATTATTGACCCACATATGAAAGACATCTGCGAAAATGCTGGTCGTGATTCTTGGTATGTCGAGATAAATGGGAATGAAGTGAGGTACTTGAGTCAAAAGGAAGGGTCTTCTCTATTGTCTGAAGTCGTCGAAATTGATTGATTGGTTTTGTATTGTTAAGGTTGAACCTTAACATCAGTTATCAAATTCTTTGTTTAATCTAAGTTTTCAATGAAATTTTCATTTCGAACAAAATATTAAACAATTTTTTCGACTTCAAAAGTTGATGCAAAACATGAATACCTTTTTGTAATGACAAATGTCACGTTTTGTAGTTCCTTTTACTATGTATTATTTCGTGTTTCAGAGTTTTAACTTTCATGATGATTTTTTCAAAGAAAAAGAACTTAAAAGTCTGTATATTTTTCTCTATACAAACGGGATGTTAAGAAACTATAAGTTATTTATATTTTTACTATAATCTATGACAATGACATGAGTTTTCCAAAAATAAAACAAAAAAAAATGGTGGTAAAATAATTATATTTAATAGTTTTCATCAAAATACAATTTCGAATTTGTTCCTTTTTTTTTTTTTTTTCGGAAGAGAATTTTTTGCTCCCGAAAAAAACAAAAAAACAATTTAGAGATTAGCGCTTTTCCAAATAATTTGCATTACAATAACGTATGTTTTTGGGAAAATCATTTATTTGTTGTTTTCGTTGTTCAAAAAATACCATTTTTGAAAAAAAAGTATTTTTTCCACCAAAAATGGGAAATCCGTGTATTTTAGGAATTCCAATCAAACCCACATGACTCGAAATGCGTTTTATTGTTTTCATTCTACAAAACAGTTACATTATTCCTTTCAAATAGTACTTGAATGACTAAGATATTGACTTCTTTTCGTAAATAAAGTAGTACTTTGGCAATAAGGAAAAAAAAGAACCACGAGCAGGTTAAGAAAATTCAGACGGTTTGCGAAGATTCTGCTTGAGTGACGTTTTGACCGCCAAAGCATGCCGATCCCGAAAACACACAAAGAAATCAAATAACTCCAAGAAAATGAAGGCATATAAGATGAAACTCCAAATTCTATCGGACAATTGATGAGTAAACCCCAGCGAGGAAGTAATGACGAGGGGATATCGCAGGCACTATACCTTAAGCGGCAGTCGAAATCGTGGGAAGCTTTTCAACAGTCTGTTTTAATGGGGATTTTAGTTAAAGAGGGCTATACTTTCGACATTTCAGTACCTGAAAAATATTCAAACAAAGTTTCACATCTCTTCAAAATTGTGTCGATGGAAAAAGCAGGGCAAGTTTTTCAAATTGAAGAAATGATTAAAGAGGAATGTCAACGGCTTGCTTCCGCGGAATCCAAAATCATAGCCGATGTTTCCCAACTCAAGCGACACTCCGACAAAAATCGGGTTTCAATTGGCCTGAACATCTTACTTAAAAAGGCACAGGAGCACGGCTACGACGTCAAGAAGCGTGGGACTCGTGGGAGTAAATTCACGGTAATTGCTCATAAATTTTCAGAAATCTATTTCAACCACAAAGTGTTTTACGACAAGGCCGCAATCAGGTCGATGGGGAAGCAGATCAACGACTTTCTTCTCAAGAAGTGTAAATCGTCGGTTGATAGAAAGGGAATTCTAGTCTTTTCTACCGATGACCTCCGGCTGATCAACCCACAACTCTCTCAGCCTCTAACCTTTTTCGATAAGACCCCATCGGCCTTCTCTAAACGAAAGGCCTATTTTAACACACTCGAGCAATTATTCGTTGTATCATTATAAGTCATTGAATAGTTTGTATCTTTTCTTTTACTGGAATCTCCCTTCTTCTTTCTTCCTTTTATTTTACTTTGAATTCTATACTCATCCACAATGCTGCTGATATCTATTTGTTGTTCAGTTATGAAGTATGCTTAGAACTTTATTTACCATAGTTTTACTATACTTGGATCTATTCGTGTGAACGAGAAGATGACTGAAAAACTCAATGAATAAAAATAGTCTTACAAGTACTTCTTCCCGATCAACTCGAGTTGCATTGCACGTGTTTTTCTTGCATTTGACAAAAAAGCTGTGCTGTGCATCATCATCCGCTCTGCATTGATCACTATGTTTAAGTCTCAAACTTTTCTATGTACCATAACCAATTTCAACAAGAACAAACATTTCTTCAAGAAGAACTCTTGAAATAACTTTCCACTTTTCATGAAAGAGCTTTGAATGTATGGAGGGAATGGGTGGTTGCTTGGCGTAGTTGTCGCATTGACGGTGTATCCCTCACACATAGCACCATCACAAAAATCTTTCTTGGGCTGTACAACAATAAACGCATTTGTATAGTGTGAAGTGAGAGACCTTGGATCAAATGGAGTCACACGGTCTCGATCCAAAAATGCAATGACAACAACATCATTACCTATGTGTCGCTTTCTCTCCAATTTTTGTGTCTCATCCGGCTGATTTGGGAGGAGTGGGCACGTGTGGAACATTAAACTGTATTTGTCCACTTGCTTGAAGTAACTGTACTTCCCGGTGCACCCATGCTTCGTGTCAAGGCCTGCTGCAAATTTAGACCACCCCTTCAGTTCAATCTTCTCTGCAATTAAATCCATGAAGTCCCAGAAGTCCTTTGAACAGTCACTTTCGTCGTTCGCAAAATATTCATTCTCTGTGTTCTGCCCCTCTTTGATGTATATCACTCCAATCCGATATGTCGACACCATCGTCATGTCTTCGTTTCTGTCTATTTCGTTTTCTATCTTTGCAGATGTCTTTTTGTCAAAGCACTTCACCTTTGGTCGCTTCTTCTCAACTTTAGGAAATGCAGGCAAATACTTAGCTGGGTCGACCCCCATTGGCACAACACATCTCACGCTCTCCTTCCCCGTCTTTAAGATGGCTCTCTTGTTCTTTGTTGAGTTATCGACAATAAGTAGAGTGTATTTCTCCTTGTCCATGTAGTACTTTGTCGTCTTCTTTCCTTTAAAGAACGTTTTGTAGAATGGGAAATCGAGATCAATGTCGATTGTATTATATTTGTACAAATCACCTTTTCTCTTGATTGACTTTGGGCCTACTTCAATCAGAAATCCATCCTTGTTCGCTTGCAAGTCGACTAATACCTCGCTCTGTTTAAGCTCAACCTTTGTCCATTCGTCCATTGGTAGTACAATTGATGACCATGGGTCGGTCTTCATTTGCGAATTAAATAAATCGTCGACACACAACCCAAAGAGTTGTTCTTGGGAGTATATTCTGTCCATAGAAAGGTATTTTGTGTTGGGATTTCCTGGGATGACAGGTTGGACAGAGAGTTGGTAAATATCTGAAAACTCGCCAATGTTGTCAACTGAGTTTCTCTTAAGGCGCTTCCCATTCGATGTCTTTGAGACATTTCGTGGAGATATATCACCAAGAACCGTTGTCTGAATTTTTTCTGGCTTGAGTTCTTGCTTTGAAAATCCATTTGAAAGGACTGGAGAGTTACTTAATGATGAACCCTTGCTTTCTGGAAATGAAAACTTTGGTGAGTAGCTCAAACGTGCCTTCGGGAGATGTGGTGGTGTCTTAATAAAAACAGGAGACAGTGGTGATACAGAGGATGTGTTTTTTACAGTTGTGTCAACCGTATTATAGTTGACTTTCTTTTGAATTGAAAGGGATGGTTGTGTCGACGAACTTTCAAAAACAGGATCAATCTTCACTGTATTGACGTCCTCAAGACCGGTGTTCAGTAAGTCGTCTAAGTCTAACTCGGCCATTTGATTAGAAGGCTTTTCTAATTCTCCAGTTCCAAGTTGATTCAGTTTACAATTTTCCTTGTTTGATATCATGCAATTATTTCCCGTTCTTTTAAATTAAAAACCCGACCAAAAAATCCTTTTTTGTATTTTTAAATTTTTTATCAACCCAACTTTTACTCCCTTTTTCCTATCTTTGTTTTTATGTATTTAAAAAGAAAGTTAATTTGTTGATTATTGTTTGTTGTAAATTTATATGAAAAATATTATTATCGACTATTATTATAGTTTTTATGATAATAAACACCTTATACATTTTTCAAACTTCGTTCTTTCAGTTTCTGATTCTTGGTTTTGAACAACTTAAATCTAACTCGGTATTTCTTTTAGATCAAAAAATTGAATTATTAATAAATTTTGTTTTTTTTAATATTAAATACTATTAATTAATTAAGAATATAGTTTTTTTTAACATTCAAAAAAATTGTCAATCCAATTAATATAAATTAACCCAAATAATTTTCCTGAAATTGTCCATATTTTATTGCTGGTGGTGTATTAAAGTTATAAATACTGACAATTTCTTTCTTGATATAGAGAGTCATTAACCACCTTTAATTTCGGGCATTATTTGTAACTTAAATAAATAGAATTTGTAAATTATTGATCAAACCAAAATATTAATAAATCTTGAAAATTATTAGATATAGTATATATACTATATTATACTATTTCTATTTTTGTATCAGTAGCTCTATAATTAAATATATTTCAAGAAACTCCAACAATTTATGTCAGCCAGCTTTTACGTGAAAAAACGGGTAAAATTGGGGGCAACTATTAAGTTATAAAGAACTAGAGAATAAACCATTTTTCATTCCAAACAAAAAAGTGAACAAAAAAAACACAAAAAAAATAAGATACAAACCTTGATGAGGGTCGCAACTCGCTCCGCAGTTTTGCTATTAGCTGATGAGGAGAAAATGAGCCCAAAAGATGTCGAAATGTTTTCGTACCAAGTTGAGACATCCATTGAGGCTTACATGGCCCGAGATGCGTCTCTACAAAAGCCATACTCATCGGACGACATCTTTCTCTTCATGAACTCAGACAATTCAATGTTTTCGTTTTTGCACCAAAAACAACCCCCTACGCTTTCTCATCGGTCATCAGACGCTACAATTCTCATCACATCTTCGCGACTCCAGGACTTAGTCAACACACCTCCTTCTTTTCAAAAGAAAAACGTGAAAGGGAAACCTCACAACTTCCAAACCCTTTGTAAAGACCAACAAGGCTCTCGGAAAATTCAACAATTTATCGAAGCTGCTACTGATGATGAACTTTCTCAGATATTTATTATTATCCAACCCGCTATATTAGACTTGACAATAGACCTTTTTGGAAATTATGTTGTACAGAAGTTGTTGGAGTATGGACCACCTAAACTCATCGTCGACGTGTTCAAACAAATATCAGGTAGCATTGTACGTCTATCACTCAACACGTATGGGTGCCGCGTCATCCAGAAAATGTTGGATGTCCTTCCATCCAGTTGTCTTCAAGATGTCGCAGATGAGATGAAGAGTAATGTCGTTCTGTTTATCGAAGACCAAAATGGAAACCATGTCATCCAAAAGTTTATCGACGCAATCCCAGAAATAGGGCTAGGGTTCATCATCAAAGAGATAAAAGAGAAGGTTGTTGATTTTTCAAAGCATGCATATGGGTGCAGGGTAGTTCAGCGCCTCATCGAGAAAGCCGCGTTTCTCCCAATCGCAGGAAAACTCATCGAAAATGTGTGGGACCTTTCAGTCAACCAATACGGCAACTATGTGATTCAGCACCTTGTACAACATGGTAATAATTCTCAACGTGTCGCAATTGTCAAAAACATCAAAGGAAAGTTGTATGAATATGCGATGAAGAAATACTCCAGCAACGTCGTTGAAAAGTGTTTGAGGTGTTGTGAAGAAAAGGAACAAAACGTATTTGTCGATGAATTATTTAGAATGGAAGGTGATGGGGATAAAGTCAAAGAGATGGTTTGCGACGCCTACGCCAACTATGTTGTCCAGCGAATTGTTGAAATGATGACCGATAACCAACGAGAGAGTTTCTTTAAAAAGTTCATCTTGCCATATCTTGACGCTTTAAAGAAAAATACACATGCAAAACACTTAGTACAGCATATATCATCTGTTATATCGTTATGAATAGTTTTTAACCACTTTACTTGGTTGTTTTGGTTTTAAAACGTCGACGTTGATTGTATATTGTCGCAAACTCTATATAACAATAGATATATATAGGTTGACAAAAGAACCATTTAATCCATTTTAATAATAATATTTACTAGAGATAATAGTTCCACTAACGTATTTGTCTTCCTGTCATTAAACAAACTTCTTTATAAATTTTTTTAATCAATAATAATTCTGTTGTTTAAATAAATAGAATACAACTAAAAAGATTTGAATACTTACAAACAAAAGACTTCAATTTTTAAATCAAACATTCCAAAAAAGAAATGATATTTACCATTACAAAAGCGATAGAAAGAAAACATATTTGGGCAAAGAGAGAGTAAATAAAAATAAAGTATTCACAATATTCCAGAAATTATCCATTCGACACGAACTAAAAAGAAGAACTTAGAATTTTGATAATGGGACAATTACCAAACAGTTACGACGATGCAAAAGGCCCAGTCGAGAGTTTTTTTTATGTTTTTTACTTTGGTGCAGTTTCGTTTTTTATGTCGAGTCGGTTTACGTGTCAACGGAATGCAACAGAACATTCGATACTGTTAGCTCTCTTCTTAATAAAATCCTTTTGTTTGTCGATCCACACACTTTTCTCAATAACGTATAGCGTTTTCAACCGATGGTATTACACTCACTTATGACCATGAAGGTTGTGGTGGGTTTTTCTTTAGTCGTCTTGGGTATTATATCAGTTTTGCGTTGGTTAGTTATACGTACTATTACTGGTGTAAAATGTTTTGCGAAAACGAGATCAAAGTAGTCAATACTTTTCGGGTCAAAATAGTATTAGCAGTTGCAAATGTAGTTACAGCCCTAACTATATTGGCAGCCTTTTTTCTTTATTACATTCTTTCTAACAAAGAATGTCACGACAATGGGACATTCGCCGTTACCGTCAATACTTGGGTTATTATCTCGGAAAATTCGCTTCTAGCGATATTCTGTATATTTTTCTGTATCTACCTTTTCGTATCATACCAACACGTAGTGAACCACTTTGTTTCTCTCCAATCGAAACAGTCGTTCACTGTTGTTATTATCTGTTCTATTTTTTTAACTTTAGAAATGTGTATTCGTGGCGCTTTCCATCTATACAAACCAATCACTGGAAACTACATGAACAACATTTTATTCATCTCGGGAACGCACTTTATCCCTGATACCATCGAAGCAATTGTCATTCGTTTGTTCTCTTTCTTATTAACAATTAAAACACACAAACATGACACGCAGTTATTATATGGTCTTTAGACTCTATATCAGAAGCGGTGAGTCGCCATGATGAGAAGTACCTTATCCAGCAATCCGAAACTATCATACTCAACACCACGTCGAGATTCTTCGACACACTAGCAGAAAAGAACAGAGACACATTCACTAAATTGATGGCAAACGATGAGGTTACCATCAAAGATGCTGATTACAGGAAGTCCCACCAGTTTTCAAACTCGGCGATTATTGAAGACTCTAACCAATCTATTTTGTAATTTGCGTTCTATTTAAGTACTATAAATATACTAATAAGATGATAGAATGAATTATGGTATTAACTCTCTCCAAATTATCTTGAAAAACCTAAAAAGACACCATCACCACTTCAATTTTTTTCATTAGAACGCGATCTTCTCCTGGAACTTCTTGGCATTCAACTTCTTGAAAGCTCTGAGTTTGTTCAAAGTGACTTGTCTCTTTGCAGACAAAGTGCAAGTCTTCTTGATCAAGTTCTTTGGTACAACCTTCTTGACCTTCTTTCCATCCTTATCAATTTGGTTCTTAGCATAGATGACTTCGTTGATCTTCTTGAGTGCCTCTTCCTTGGCAGCCTTGACTTTCTCGTAAGTTTCCTTTCCTTTAGCAACCTTGAATTGGTGTGCCTTCTTCAAACCCTGAATTCTCATGGAAGCAATTTTGCAGTATGGGTTCAACTTGACCATAGCAGCCCAGTTCTTCAATGGGTTTCTTCTCTTCAAAGCAACAAGTTGTTCTGGTTTGGCTCTCAAGATCTTGGCCTTCTCAGCAGCACCAATAACTCTCTTCATATCTGGGACAGCGGCTTGTGCCTTTGGTACTCTGAATCCCTTCTTTCCTTGTGCCATAGCTTTCTGTGTACCGAAGATGTAGTTGAGTCTCTTGAATGCGCTCTCAGTCCAGATGATGAATCTTCCCATATGTCCACCTGGGGCAAGGTTCAAAACAGAGAGGTTGTCAACGTTGCATGAGTCGACGCCTGGGATGTTTCTGAAGGCTCTGATAGCTTGGGCTTCGTCGTTATGATAGACAACAAGTGGACCCTTTCTGACCTTGTGGAGTCTTCCTCTCATCTTTCCTTGACCAGCTCTTGATGTGGCTGATGCAATGACTTTCAAGACATCTGGATAAGCTCCGATCTTCTTCAACATGTAAACGGCTTGTTTGGTTCTTTTGATGACAGAAATGCTCTTTGAGTTCAAAACAAGTGGAATTTGAGAGACACCAGCAATGTGGTGACCTCTGGCAGTGACCATAGCTGGGATAGCAGACGCGGCAATGCATGAAGCAACAGCGTATCTTCTAATTTGTTTTGGGGTCTTCTTTTGCCACTTTCTGTAGACTTTGAGTGGGGAGTACATGTGACCCTTTCTGCACATGTTACCAAAAGCACCTTGTCCATTACGGCCAGATCCAGAACCACTAATTCTTGGAATTCTAGCAACGGCTCTCCCAGTTCCCCATGAGATGGCGGAATGTTGTTTACCGGCTTCAGTGCTGACTGCCTCGGGGTGGCGGGCATTTTTGTTTTGGTTTGTGAAGACGAATTGAACAATGTCGTTTCTGACTGGAGCAAGGAACACGGCTGGAATTCTGCATGGCGTCTTCTCAGCTTCACCTGTAATACCGTCGTAAATGGTGACTAATGGTCTAGAACTCATTTGAAGAGGCTGTGTTTCCAGTTTTGAGTACTTTCAAATTTTACACCTAGGGTTCCTTACTATTATTTACTATCTTTTTTACTATTCTCTATTCTCTTGCTCTTTTTCTTTTTCCCTTCTCTCGACTTATCGGAAACGTAACCCTCCCCATTAATGCCTTCTTTTATTTTTTCACATATTATTGTGCAATATTGGTGGGCTTTTGTACTATTTTATACCAACCCTTGGCGTTACAGGCTTGATGGTATTTTTAAATATATAGTAAATATATCGTTTAATATACTATTAATTATAGTTCTTAACTTCAAATGGTCACTCCTCAAAAGTATTTTTTAATTCAACTATACAATCTATTTTATATTATTTACTACTGTTTTTACTATATTTTGAATCACAATTATTTTTATAAATATAACATTTACATCATTATTTGAACTCTATTTTATTTTCTTTAAACTGTTATAAACGACTTTAAGCTTCTTTTCGATCGACCATTATTGAAAGATGTAATAATTATGATAATCCAAATATGAAATTATTAATTAAGATTGTATAATTAATTATTCAAAAACCTTTAGTTATAATATTGTTATTTTTTTTAACACTTTTGTTACAATAAAAAAAACTAGATGAAAGCAACATTTTGAACACATTCGACCCAGTCCAGAAGAATTCAATTTTTAACTGAAACAACATTGAACTGAGAGATGCAATGGAATTATACAAAGACTTATACACTACCAAGGTTGTACAGGGAAACCTCAGCGACAACCTTTCAAAAATCCAGCTTGGAAAGAAGCCCCTTATAGTCACCACTAGTCACTCATCTGACAATTTGGGCATAATAAAAACACTCACCGACTTTTTTACAACCCAACATGTAGTCCCTGTTATTTACAGAGGGATCACTCCAAACCCTCTTTACGTCTCTTGTGAAGAGTGCGTCGATTTAATTAAAAAAGAGCACTGTGATTATGTTGTCGGCATTGGTGGAGGGTCTGCGGTTGATGCGGCGAAGTCAGTGTGCATGATGGCAAAAGGTGTTGATGTACTTACTCAAAGTGGAGTTGGACTTCCGTTAGTATGTATTCTTACACTCTCTGGAAGTGGTACCGAGGTGACTCCATACTCAATTCTTACACTCCCGAACGGAAGCAAGAAAAGTGTGATGGGGCATTTATTCCCAACAGTTTCCATCATTGACAAAACATTCCAAGCGACTATCCCACCCCTTTACAGATACTCTCTTATCGCCGATATCATGTCCCATTGTGTTGAGTCACTTCTCTCAGTCAAAGCAACACCACAATCGTCTGCCGCTAGTTTGGACGGGATGAAGATGATCTACAGAGACGTATCGACTTTTGACATCACAACAATTGACACAATCAATGCCTCTATCATTGGAGGTGCTGCAATCACAGTCGCAGGAACTTCTGTGCCTCATGGTTTGGGCTATTACATGACAACCAAACACAATCTACCACATGGTTTCGCATGTGCTGTGTTTTCTGAGGCTTTTTTGCGTCTTTGTGAGAAACAAGCAATAGTCGGCGACAGACTCAGAGATGCGTGCAAGTCGATGCACATCACCTGTTCACAACTTGAGTTATTTATGCACACTCTTGTATCAAAGTATGGCGAAGTTGTTGTTCAAAAAGACGAACTTGAGGTGATCTGCAATGAGTTCTTTGGGACAGGGAAGGACCATCAACATCCTGTTCCTCTTGTTCGTGATGATGTGCTTGAAATCATTAAGATGTCTGTCAAGTTGGAATAAGACACGTCTCATTATTTTAATATTTGTTGTTGTAAAATATATAAGTAAATACTATATTATAACTATTTTTTGATATAATAGAAAGAAAAATACAAATTATTTCAATTATAAGAGATGTATTATCATTAAAGTTAAAAATTTAGTTTTGTCAAGATAGTTATAATTTTATAAAAATATACCAATTTTATAGT